ATATATTGTCTGTGTGGGCTTATTTGCTTGCATATTTAATTGTATCTGCGTCTGCCGCAAATAAATTCAATTTACACTAAAACAAATGTGGCACGGCCATATGCATATGCAACACAATTCGTGCGCCGTTTTTAATTGAAGTGTTTGCACGCCAATCGTTTATGTGGTTAAAATGCATTATTTTCGTCGATTTCCGCCGTTGTTGGCTTTTTATTTGTTATTTCTTTTGCTTTTGCTTTTGTTTTTGTTTTTGTGGCGCGTTTGAGCGAGGGCGTGGCATAGCTGCATTGCATTCGCCTGAGCTGTGTCTGTAATTTTGCATGTTTTGTGGGCGTTTTAATCACATTGCAAATACCACGGGCAAAAAAAACGACCTTTAAACGCCCTTAAAAACAAAAACAAAAACAATTCAAATGGTTTGAAGCGATTCTACAACATTTTTGACCAGCTGGCCAAAGGTGCGTATACGCAATGTGTGCTTTAAAGTGAGGCCGCGAACTGAGCCATAATCTATACAGGCACAGAGAGAGAGAGAGAGAAGGAGTTTGTGAGAGAGGGAGAGCGACTATATGTAGCGGCACACAATTAAATTAATATCACTTAAAATATTGTGTACGAGTATCGTTTGCGTGGGGGATTCGCCCATGAATATGGCCCCAGCATGTGGCCAACTGAATCCGATTACAGCAGCGGACTGGTCCTTGACAGGCAGCAGGTCAGAAGGGTGGTGGGTGCAGGGGGAGGGGGGGTGTGGTGTTGCTGCTCTGCAATAATAGCGCATAATTAAGCACCGAGGCGAGCAAATATGTATGGCCCAACTGCACGGCAATGTGCATGTCCCACAGATACGCGTAAGTGTAGCCGCAATTAAGATGTATAAATATTTATAGCCAACACACACACACACACGCACTCTCTCTCTTTGTGTTTGTGTGTGTGGCTGATAGCGTTTAAAACGGATCTATCACATCTATCTCATATTCGCTCTGGCAGCTGCCCCAGCTACAATTTTTATTTGAACCAAATGAAGCGCCAATTGATAAACAATTAAGCAATTAGCTCACCTTGCTTTGGCGTAAATGAGCATTTGAATTGAATTTCAGCGTAGTTCGGTGTAGTTTGGTCGGATATAGTGGAATTTTAGTGTAATTAAATTTGATTGACTTCTTACAGCTCTTGGCCGAATTCAATTCACAAAGTTGGCAACAGAATTATGTAAGCTCGGCTAGACTAAAGCGAATCAGCAGACTTGACAATGGTCCTAAATTAATTCAATAAAGTCCTTATAACTACAGAGTCCTACGTATAACTAGATCCATAATTTAATTTAATATTTTAATAGAATTTAGATATGATCTTTTATTTTTCTCTTTAGTCTTTGTTAAAATTTTATTAAATAGGATTTTTTTCTTTAATACAATTTAGAGTCCTAATTGAAGTTCAATTTCAGCTCTTTATTGATATGACATTCCATTTGCTTCGTGTTTTTTGCTCTATATTAATTTAAAAATAAAATATTAAATTAATACCATGATTATTAAATTTAAAAATTATTTTAATAAATTAATAATGAAAACAATTTTAAATTTTTTTTCTCTATTTTTTTTTTTTTGCAAATTCTTTCAAATAAATGTATATAATTTTGTTAGGATTCATTTATTTAGCAAAGGTTTTTAACCTTTCCCTTATGATTCAGTTGAATTATTTTATTTTGACTGGCTGACTAAAAAATGTAAGAACATTAAGGGCTGGTTAGATATGATATTTAAGAAATCATTAAAATATTATTAAATTTCAGGCGGAGATGCTTTCCTCTTTCCTCATTATTAATATCTTTTGCAGTTGAATTGGAGAAAGTTTGAAGAACAAAATGAAAACTACTGCAGGAATAGCAATTGAATATAGAGTATAATGAAAAGTGTGTGGGAATATAAATTAAGTAAGTGAAATAAATAATTTTTATGCCCACATTAATAAATGATTCCTTGAAATAATTCCTTAACTTTCTACAAGATAAGAGCTGACCGATAAAAAAAAAAAAACAATCATTTATGTACACGTACATACATATGTAAATATGTGTTCCATATAGCCTAGCCTCTACAATTACGGGCAATTTTTAGTATAAAACCTTGCACAGCCGACAGCCAGCCAGACTTGACTGAAATTGGCATTCGACTGATGCATTAGCAATGATTAATCAACGATAATTGCAATGACTCGTTCAGCGCACGTTAAAGGCATAATAATTAGTAGAGAATGTGGGCTGTGCATTGCCTGTTAGCTGCTTGGGCAATTCAAATTCAAATTCAAATTCAATCTATTTTGTCAACAGGCATTGGCAGCAGTGCCGGCATTGGCCAAAGAGCACGAAGTGGCTAAATGAATGGCAGCACCAATAATAGCCTCGTGGTCAACTACACAGTTAGGCAGCTACAGTGCCAGGGCAGCCGGAACAGCATCCAATGCATAAATAGCAAACATAATTAATTTGAATATGGTGTGTCTGAGAGAGAGAGAGAAAGAGAGAGAGTGAGAGAGAGGGGGTGGACAGGTGGAGGGCTGGGCAGCTGCCTACTTTGGTTACCGCTGGTCAAAGCTGGCAATCAATAACAGAAGTTTGAAATGCGACGCAATTGTTGTGACCTCTTGTGCCACACGCACACACACATCGCACACAATAACCTGTGACCCCATGCGGCAGCCAGAGCAGCAGCAGAGCAGCAGAGGCAGCAGCTGGTCGTCGCATTAGAATTTAAAAACTAATTAATACGCGCACCAATTGCGCAATTAGCGGCCAGAGAGGTGGCCTGAGGGGGTGTTAACCCCCTCTGTAGTCCCTCGTTTTTGTGGCTCACAAATGGCCGGCATCGAGGTGAGCACTTGGCATAAGTGTGCGCGGCTAGCATTTCAATTGTATTGCAAACTTGGCCATTTGAGCCGGCTAATGAGGTCGCCATTTGGCATTTCGCAGTACGCATATATTTGACATGCCATACAAAAGGCAGGCCAGGCCAGGCCGTTAGCCTACCAACGGCCATTGAGCAGCTGCATCCATATACATGTATGTGCATATGCGTGTGTGTGTGTGTGTGTCTGTGTATATATGTATTTCATTACTCACACAACACGGACAGTTGCACGGTGGAACGCATGGGCATGTCCGGGGACAGAGCCTTGTGCTTGGCCTGGCAGGTGTATTCCGTGTAGTCATCATCCGCGCCGGGCTTCAGTTTCAGACTCGAGGTGGTTGTAAAGCGTTTGGGCGTGGACTCCTCGACCTTGTCTTCCCGTTTTTCTGTGAAGCAGAGAGCAGAAGAGAGGAAATGAGATTGGGAAAGCGTTTAAGTGACATAAGAGGAAGATATAAAAGTAAATGGAAAAATAATAGA